TTTGGCCGTATTCGCCTCATTGTAATTCTGGAAATAGGACAGACCTGACTTCGCTCGCAATGCACCAGGACATGTGCTACTGCATTGCTTCAGCACCAAGTCGGACCTGTTGAAAGATTGTAGGCCTTCCAACGAAATCCATTTCCATGACGATCAAACCTTGGCATGTGGCAAAGCCCTATTGACCACATCAGTGAAGACAAAGCACCGGCGACAGAACACAGACATCTGTGCACAACTTTCATATGCCGTTCTGCAACGTGCCCAAGCATGGATCAAACCGAGCAAAAGGAACGACAGCATGCTCACCGTCACTTGCGTACAGACCAACACGAAATCATGTACCCACATCGCCGAGCACAAAAAGTAAAACCAAAACAGTCGAATGTGCGAGATACATATTACTACCCGCCCCCACCCCCACAACCAAAACCTGATAGGAGCCACCAACCCGAATGCAGAAAGCAGTCACCTATAACGCAAATATAACGCAATATAAACGACACGTCGGTGCGCGGGCGGAAAAGAGCGGTTTTTTCGCACGGTTCAACCGGAACATTGTGCATGAAGTGCAGGATCTTCGCCTGACAGCATGGACAACAAATGTTCATGAGTTACATGACTGCAAGGCAACATGCATAATCCTGCATGTGATGCATGTCATCCCCCATTTAGGAGCCTAGACTAGACCACCAAGACCAGATCGGTTGCAATCATCAACATACGTGTTTACCGGTCAGCTGTCATATGCTGAGATGTGCGCGTTGTCTTAACTTTCTAAATGGCAACAAGCATCTGACCGGCGACCACACGGCACCGGAGGCATGCGTCATCACTCTGCACAGCATATACTCACCATGGGCACAGCACTTTTGACGGCTCCGATGCAAGGCCCATGGCAAGCATCTGACCGGCAAACACAGCACACGGTAAAGAAAACATCGCTCAAAACATGACGACAAAAGACAAGGAAAACAAAAAACAACAAAAACAAAAGAACATTCACTGACGCACAGCCGCCTCGTCGGTGCTTATGTTTACATCCGGCCATACCGCAGCATCGCTCCGCGTACTGTCAATGAAATGCCAAGCTCAGCGGAATGCAGACCTCCAGCTGTTTCGCGAACGCTTCGCGAACGCTTGCGGACGCTTGTTGGACGCAACGCAACGACGTTTGGTAACCTCCCAACCCCCAGACCCCCAACTTTAAAACGGGAACCCTTCTAAGAATCGAAGTCTTAAGATTCCAAGGCTTTTGGGTCAGTTTCGACTAAAACCCGAAACCAGGAACCAAGAACCAAAAACCAAGATTCCCAAGAAAGCTTTGCGGCTAACCTTCGTTCCGGGGCCTGGGCACCCGGGCCCGCTTTGATTGAAACGGTCCATTTAGTTATAACGGGACATGTCCGGGAACCAGCCAAGACTTTTCTGAGAATCTTAGCTCTTGGTAAACAGGAATGTCCCACAAGACTGGCGATCCTAGTTCTCGGTTCCCGGCCCCGTTCAAACGCTGCGTTCAAATTAAAACGGGGGATGTCCTGGAACCAACATTCGCTCGACGATGCCAACACTACATTCCTGGATTCAGGGTACCTCTCACTTTAGCTGCCTGACATGTTAGTATGACCTCGTATGACCTCGTCTGCGCAGCACATGATGTTGGAGGGGTGCAGCATACCTTTGCTTGGAGCATGCAGCACCTGCGCCCTCAGCAAAGTTGCTCATTGCTTGGCTCGGGAGGCACCTAGAGCGGTCTCAGACTTCGACATCAATAGGCCCAATAGGCCGCTCACATGCGAGAACATCATGAGATGATCACCACACCCTGGTCACGATGGCACGATGGTCGCGTCTGCCCAACGTGGCCTAAGCCTTCGTAATCTTGGTATCGGTCGAGTCCGTGGCACGCAAATTGCCCGACCAACTCGCCAAAGCCAAGTACTCTCGGAACAAGACCCCCAAGATCCCCCAAGCCATCACGAATGACGGACTCCGCCAAGTCGGACCCCATCGAGAACTCCGACGACGTGGATGCCAAGTCGGACGTGGCTCAGTCCCAAACTAGCGACAATAGGACCCATGACCGAGACTCCAAGAACATCCAATTAAGAACAGCAAGCGTAAGGCAGATAAGCACATGCGGCCCCAAGTTGAGAACAACTAGTTCACGGTGGCGATCTTGAGAACGGGCTCCGTGTCACCAACGGAAGCTCACAGGATATGGTGAAGTGGACTGAGATGCACAGCCTGCACAGCTGCCGTCATGGCACATATGTTGTGCCAGGTATAAGGGACTGTGCACATTGACTGTGCGAATCCGCTGTGCATAGCACAAGTCGCACGGCAAGCAGTTGTCAATTGCGCGCGACCGGGCTATATGCACGAACACGTCTCACACGTGTAGAATCCGCACTACCGGTTGCATATCTTCGTCGCATCCGCTTCATGGTTCAGGCTAACCGCTTATGAGAGCTGCATGGGAGTGGAACGAGCTTCTTTATAAATGCGGGCTTCGTCCTTCTATGAGCTGCAGAACTGCCAGCCGGTTCACCCCCCCCCCCCCCCTCCCAACAAATTCTGAGAGCCTCTGGAAGTTTGCCGGGCCAGCTTAGAGATCCAGGCTGTCGGAGAATGGGGCGGGGGGTGGGTGGGGGCAAATGATTTAAGGGTTTATGGGTTTTGGGTTGAAGAGTTTGGGGAGTAAACCTCAAACACAAACGTTGACCGCTGGAACGAAGTGGCAAGCGGTAACGATCAGTGACAAAGGCTTCCCAGGGCAGGAGCCTGTCGGGTTTCCGGTGGTTTGTGCCTCACTTCAGGGATCTTCATGGTGGATGGGTCGGCCTGCCTCTCAAATTGTTAGGTAAAGCAATAAGGCAAGCAATGGACAAAAATTTGAAGCTGATCGAATCACGTGAAACGCCCCAAAGTGTTGCGGACGTTCGGCATTACAAATGCAAATAACAAGGCCATTGAAACCAGCAGGCTTACCCCAACTTGCTATGGAATGTGGCTTACCCCCCCCCCCAATTTGTTATGGAATGTAAATCGCATACTCTGCAAAAAACACAGATCTAGGCTAAGGTAGAGCGCCCTCATTTGTTACCAGCGTTTCGGGGCAAAGTGAGTGACATGACAGGCTGCATGCCTCCAGGTGCCGTGTGCAGGGATTCTGGAAGAAATGCAGGTGTTGCACTCAGGAAGGCTGGGGCCGTCTTGTTTCACCGAGCCCCGGTACTCCCCAGTCCTAGACCACTCAATCACTGATATCACGAAAATGATGCACATCACTGGCTACAAACCACGAAAAGCTCCAGGCCATAGCTTCTGTTCTGCATCTCGAACACATTCCTACGAAAGAAGAGGCTCAATTCATGGCACTGCTTCTGGCAGCTGACAAGTGAAATCTTTCCAGCCCGCCCGCCTCATCGGAAAATTGATCCCAATAGAAGAAACCGACATTCCAGCCTGCAGCGAACGCAGCACGGCAGACTTTCTCAGTGAGATTGCAGGAATTCGCAGGAGAAGTTGTGAGGCATCTGTGCCTTCATCAAGCCAGGAGTTGACCAAAAGTTGGTCACCACCATTTGGGCAGATGTCAGGGTGACCTGATGGCGACAAAGCACCAGTGCAGGTCAATTCAGCTTGGAGGGTGCGAGTAAAGTAAGGCCGCATCATCTTGTGGTGAGGCGCTTACACCGGCTAGTCCAACCGTCACCTGCATAATGCGCGGCGACGGCAATGTCTAAAGGAGGGATCACATAATCCCTTTTGACCTTCACCAGTCCAACCATGGAAGTACAACATGGTGGGCTTCTTGGGATCATAGAACCTGGGCCCATCTTTGCATCACCGAACAGACACACCTCCAAGACATTCAGCACACAGGCTCAGAAGAACGCTTCGATGCATATCCTGTAGCCTTCAGCTGGGTTTGCGTTGGTGAGCCACAGCACGAAAGCTGTGCACATCTTGCAAGGATGAGCTGGCCGAACGTGGTATTGCATGAGTGCTTTGACTACACTGCGCGAGGCGTCCTTCTCCGACTGATCGTCGTGGCCAAACCTTATACAGGGAAGCCATGAGCTGACGCTTAGACCGATCATTGCTGGCCCTGACTTTGTGTGGAGTGTGTTGTGTATGTGCCAGGCCAATAAATGCCAGCATCTAGCTGCTGGGGGAATCCATTGAAACGACCTTTGATGTCAAGGATGATGCTTGAGATGAGCAACATACGCTGTCGATCGCTGTCGAATCGTCGAGGCTACGAGCCGCCAAGCATTGCTGGGTGGCGAGCCCAAGTTATCTGGAGTGCAGAAGCTTTGTGTGGCCTGGTGCGTCAGTTGTGCTCACACATGCTTGAGGCTGAATCTGACAGGATCTCCTAGACCCAGGCCTCCACAATGAGCAGTCTCGGAGCAAAGCACAGAACCTCGACTCAGCAAACTGGAGGAAAGGGGTCATAATCATAGGGACTCAGAGGCTCCCGACCAAGATCTGCCTCACTGCGAGCTTTCCAAACAGCCACAAGAGACGAGAGCAGCAGAGACTCCACATGGTACGCAACCCAGACACAAGGTCAAAGATGCTGAAGTCGCCGAGAGAAGGCGCGGCAACTGAAACAACCCAAAGGCGTCTGACAAGTGAATGATCCGGTTCGTGTAAACGAGACCGTGTAGGCCCACCACTCGCCCATTCGCCATGGGAAGGCTTCGTGTTGCTAGCATCAGCCACGTACAGAGAGTTCTAAGTAAGGAATTTGCTGCATGAACTTTGTTTACAGCTACACGCCATCCGAGAGAAACGTCGGATGATGTCACTAGCACTTGAGTCAATGGAATTTACGTACCCGACGCAAGGTATCTGTACCAATGCGCACTACATGTTTCTACATGTAAAAGAGCTTGGACCACAAAGCTCCACACAATCTGAGGGCTCTTCATCAACACCAGAACTCAAGTTCCAGCAGCCTGCCAAACCACTCAAGATACAGAAAGCTCCTCCAGTTTCAAGCAGGCCAGTGCACGATTGGCCAGCAGAGCAACCTGCATCAAGCCGGATCCTCTAAGCCTGAGATCATGAAAGCTCGCCGGAACCAGGCCTTCAGTGCAATCGCCTCCTTCTCCTCACCAGCGCAGTCCGCCTCTTGCACTCTATCACCTGCAAGTCAAGTTTGGGAGAACTAAGAGCAAGATGTGCAATTATGCGAGGTTGGAATATAGGGGACAACGCTGCTGAGCCATCCGCCGCAAGTTGAACTTGCCTTCACGCAATGAACTCCATTGAATCACAACACAACTGTACTTTCGTGGTAGAACATGCACATTCCGGGCCCCATCTGCTGCAGGCTCATACTTGTCGAGGCAGTCAATGGCCGCGGTGTATGCAGCAATAGCCTCGAACTGGCATGCTGTTTGGCAGTCGAGCGTCTGCTTATGGACCTGCCTCTCTGTATCGGCCTGCACCAAAAAAACGGTTTGCCTGGTGACGCCAGACTCAGATGATTGATAATGATGGCACCTATGAGATGCAGCTGAAGCCTCATCCTTGCGTGGGGCAGCAAGGTCTACCGGCGCAACCTTGCGACCGCTGCGGCGGACGGACACCTGACAACAGAACCCCAACACAGTTTGACCCGGTTTGATCTTCAGAACAGGCACCCCTCCAAATACTCCCATCAAGCCAAAGCCATAGCGGGACGGCAGGCCGGAGAAAACGTAGATGGGCTGCCGCTCTAGGAGTCGGACACCCCCCCCCCCCCCCCCCCCCCCCCCCCCCCCCCCCCTCCCCCCGCACACTTCCTTCTATTGGGTTTCAGGTTTGGGGTTTGCGTAAACGGGCCGCGCGACCTCCCCCAATTAACGTCGGGACGCTTTCGTGGCGTGGCGTTGCTTTCGGGTTGAGCGTTGCCTGGAAGCCCTGGGCCGCAGAACTTTCATCAGACTGGCTTGGAGGCGGTTATACGGAATCCAAAATGCTGAGCTCCCCCTCCGGGAGCTTCGTTGGGCCAGGCCGAGGCGGGTCGCGTAGCGTGAAAACTGATCTTTGTATATCCTGATACCCCAAATCACAGGAGCGATCAGAGGAGCCAATCCCATTCAAAATTGGTTGATTTTTTCTTTGCTATTCATTCGAACCCCTGAACTCTCCCATTCTCAAAAGCGTGCCCACATTTGAGGCAGCGGTACACTAAGTGTTTCACGCTTCTTGGTTTTGCCATAGGCCAAGCAGCCGGCGGAGCGGGGAGCAGACAACAAGACCCAACGCCAACATAGGTACATAGGTAAGCAGACGCATGCAGACGCTACCATGAGTATGACTGCCGATGTTTTTTGACTCTTGGGTCCTGCTTCGAGTGGTGTTGTGGCTCAATTCCCCACGCAACAGGTAGGTAGGGAGGTAGGTAGGGGTCGGCCCACGGCAGTAACATGCAGTAACCACGGTCACCGCACTCTTTCTTCTCCGTATCTCAGGGTGGCCTCCGCAACCGTCATAGGCCCCCTCCACGAAAGGTTCAAGAGGGGTTGCAGAAGACTTGCAGCCAAGCATCAGATTGGGGGGCGGACTGGGGCAAACTGGGTCTCTGCCAGCGAGGCCACGAGAGCGAGTGACTACATGTCTCCGCAGGCGAGGCTCAGGCAACTCAGACCGCCCGACTCGGCGACAAAAGGGGAGCTCAGCAAGGCAAGGAGCAACCCAGACCCCATGACTCGGCGCGAGAAGGGGACGTCAGCTTTGGTGCTTTTGTAGCATGAGCTCTTGTGTCCAAGAAATGAACATGTCTTCGCAGAGTATTCACACAAGAGAGTACAAGCGGCGTCATGGATAAAACCCTTGGGGCGCAAGAACTTGGTCTTCCATGAATACGGGTCTTGGGATGTCTTGGGCTCGGGGTTTCGGATGTGCCGTCAAAGCCACCGCAACGATGCCATCTTTCTAAGCGTTTTATGCAAAGCACACATCCGAATGTGAGAACGCGTGGTAGGCGGTGCTACAGAGGAGCTTCTTGCACAAGGCAGCCCCACCAACCTCCGAATTGACGACTAATTGCCGGCCTGTAAGGCTGTAGAAAAGCGTACCGGTACCTATGGGGGTAAGTCACGGCCTGTGAAGATAGGCGCGAGGTCCCCATTGCTCAGCCCCATGCAACCTTCTATGGCCTGGTCGAATTCCCGATTTGACACTCCATCCCCGATCAACAAAAGCACCAACTTCGTAAAACAACAGTTCCTCTCCAAGTTGTTCGGGGCTGCTCGCAAAACGTGACCAAACAAGGTTGATGGTGAATGGGGTCCGGCCAGTGAGCGCGCTCCTGTGTTGGTGACGGTGACCTGCTGCGGCTTGTCTGTGAACGGCTTGGTGCAGTAGGTGCTGGGGATGCGCTGGATTTTGCAGAAGGCCTGTGAGTGGAAGACCTCGAGCCTACGCAGGTCAGCTGTGGTCAGGGCCACCAGGGCAGGCAAGTTGCATGGTGGCATCTGTCTTGGAGGAGGAGTCTGACCGAAGTATTACTCCGAGATACTTCGCCTGTGTGACTGCGTTATCTGAAGCGCCGGAGCAGGTGCGACTTTGCAGTGTTAAGTCGTATGTTTACTGCGAACAGTGATCGTCTCGATTGCCTGCAGACTAGGAAGCGGTTGCTGTTCAGCACGCATTTGGGAGAGCATGGAGAATCAGCAAGTTCGGGGGATGCAAAGGTCGGGGGCGGAGAGCTCCGCCAGGCGTAGTTGGTGGCCGTTGGTGGTGTCCTGGTCCTTCAGCGGCCCAACATGGCCTAAGTGGGGATGCTCCACCCGGTGTTGTAGGAGTTGGGCATTGAGGTCCCCCACCACTAAGAGTGGGGTTCTGGGGCGGCGGGCTTGAATCAGAATGTTGAGCTCGGTCCAAGCCTTGTGCACTTCCGGCTGCCTTGCGTGGTCCCGGGTGAGAGACCGCCTCCTGACACGTCGCTGCTCCATCTGGGTGAGCCAGACTGTGAGGAAGCAGGGGCCCGAAATGCCACACTAGCTGCGGTTCCTGCGAGGAATAGGCGCTCGTGAGCTTTGTCTCCCAGCATGGATCTCGTGAAATCGAACCACGTTGACCTTCTGCTGGCATGGATGTGTGGATCATGCGCGCCACTGGCCGCAAACTGGCAACCATCAGGTATGGAATGCATGGACGCGCTGGTCATCAATGTCAGCCTTACAGGTAGAACCTGCATGGTCTTGACGAATCCGCTAGAAGCTTGCACAAAAAGTCTTGTCGCAGTACTCGCCGATTGACGCTCCGAATGCGGTGGCCAATGGCATGCTTGCTGCCAAACTTTGCAACGTCACATAACGTCATTGGCATGCCTTCACGCGAGGCTTGGCCGTCGAAGTTCGAGTCCGGTCACCGTTCGGCTTTAGTGCCTTGCACGCTTGGCTTTCAAATTCATGAATGCAGCATGCTGTACGAACACGTTCAGATCGTATTGGACCGACTTCAACCATGCTTCAACTGCAGCAAAGAAGCCATCTCGTCCAGAATTCGATCTTTTTCAGCCTTGGACGAAGGCAAACATGGACAAACTGCAGCTGGATCAAGCAACGGCACTCACTCACAGCACAGCACTGTAAATATGCTTGGATGAAGTGCTGAAATCTCGGCAACAACTTGCGATGAGCACTAATCACGAAACATGTAGCAAATCTCACGGTAGTGTTGCAAGTGTTGCAACAGACAGCAATCATCTGCGATGCACATTCAGATACGCGACCGGTGCTTTCAAGAAACACTTTTCCAAAGACAGACTGTATATCCAAATTGCACAAATGGCGGGGCCCTTTCAATGTACATGAGCCAGGCTCAGCCAGTGAACCTCAATGCTGAGAACCTTAACTTTTCGGAATTTCACAAGGATCGGCCATCAGGGTAGCTACCCTTTGCAGCCGAAACCACTCCCTATGTCTTCGTCGATGGTATCAACATCTGTGCAGCCTTGAATTCTTTTCTTGTCTTGTGTGGGGTCGACCGGGGGCCAGCCACAGCGGCATGTGTCTTGCGACGGAGTGTACATGTAACCACGATTAACCACGCTCACGCATGTCTTTACAGGGTGGAAAAGCGAGGGTATTACTTCTGTATCAGCGATTCCAATGAAGCAAACCTGTTTCTAGCAGTCTTCTCAAAAGGGTCTGCAAAGTGCTGGGTGTCGCTGTGCTGCTGCACGATATTGCAGTTTTGCTTCTTCAATGTTGGCTTGCTACATCTAGTCTCCGGAAAAATAAACACTGGACATTGCTGATCATTACTGCAGACTGGCCGACATGCAGAGCCGGGGAGCCTTCTTACGACCTCAAACGTGGTAACGGCGCCTGTACGCGCCTGTACGCGCCTATGCGTTTGTAGAGATTTTAGAATGAGGCGTTTTGCATGGATACGCGCGAAACCACAGCGAGAGCAAAATCTCAACTAAATTGCTGTTCAGGCAGGTGCGCGAAACACTAGAGGCTGAAGTAAACTTTGGGCCTAACTGCGTTTTCGCTCGGGTTTTAAGCTCATTTTTGAAGAGGCTGCAGAACAAAACTCTATTTTAGAGAGAGTTTTGGAGGATGTATGGCTGAGTTTAAAGTAATTGGGATTTGAAGGCCGGGTCATGGATTTTATGTTGAGGGATTTTTGCTTTCAGGGTAACGCAGTAAAGCCCAGTCCCAGTTTTTTGGGCATAAACGCTGTAGATAGCAGTGTTTTGGGCATGGTTGCGAAAGGCATGGACGCTTGTGACAGATTTCCTTGTTCCACTTCTTTGTGCAGTACATCAAATCGCTGTAAATACCGGCGTTTTTGGGTATAAAACGCTGCAAATACCAGTGTTTTGGGCATGGTCGCGAAAGGTGGACGCTTGTGATAGATTTTCTTGTTCCAAATCCTTGTAAAGAGGCGCAAACGCTGTAAATACCAGTGCTTCGGGCATGGACGCAATATGAATGACGTTCTTATCCCCCCCCCCCCCCAGCCCCCGCCCCCCCAACGCCTCCACCCCCGCCCCAATACCCCGCAACCTGCAAAAACGCATAGGCGCGTACAGGCGCCGTCACCAAAAACTTTCTAGGAGAAGTAACGGGCCATGGGTTCTATGTGGGCATGGCTCGCAGGGGAACGATTCCACAGTTTGTAGGCCGCAGTTCAGTAGCCATGGAAGCAGGTTTCCCTCCACAAGGGGAATGGAAGGAATGGAAGGAACGGAAATAGTGCGCAGCATTACTGAGGCAATACCGAATGAAAACTGTACGAAAAGGAAAACGCCGAAAATGGTGTCCCACACTCTGCCATCTCGAGCTCCCAGCTTGCCGAGCTTCTCTCTCTGCCCGCTGCGCCTGGAAGGCCTTCGAATGCTTAAACTCTTTTAAACTTTGCTCAATGTGCTGAATGCCAGGTCATGCCAGGTACGTCTGGGACCGTCCGTCGCACCTCCTCTTCGATCTTTCCCACTTCTGCTTCAGGATCGTATCTGTCCCAATCATGGTAGTACCTGCTAAATCCAAGCTGGTGGAAGTCTGGCTCCAGCACTGGCCCCGGCACAACTTGCTGCGGTGCTATCAAGAAGGGCACTGGGCTATCGGTGCCTTATCACGTTTGATAGGCTCTGACCTGGAACGCGAGGCACACCCTAGCGTGATGAACAACCCAGCTGGGCATCATCCGGCCTTTCACCATCTACATCCGTTTCATGGCTCTTTTCAGCCACGTCTTGCTCCACAGGTTTTGCCTCAAAGCAGTGGCACCCAGCAGGACTGGCAGCTAGATGCTCTCCGCCATTGCTTCAGAGAAAACGACTCCATTCTGCGTAAGGCAGTCACTGCAAGCTTCTGAGCTTCATCGATGCCAACTTGACGGGCTGTTTTTCGAATCTCTCTCCGTCGCTCTTCCTTCACTTGATCCTGCGAAGGGCACCACTCTTCCTTGCCAAACATTGCTCAAATCAAAATATTCCAGCCTCCGTCCACTTGTACAAGTCTGAGAAAAACTCGGACACACTCGTTGCATTATCCTGCACATGATGTGCACTTCATCACGCCCGCCGAAAAAAAAAAACTGCGGATGGAATTCGTTAGTCCTTGATCTGCTTCTGAATTTCGATCGACATGACCTGCATCGAAGCAAGTGATGTGCTCGATTCGCATGCAGGCACCACCTGCCTGACAATCGGAAAGCCCGGAAAGCTTCAATGGTCAAGATCTCTGTCAAGCCGAGCCATGCTGTTCACGGCTACGGAAGTGCCCATAGCAAACGGCGTGTGTTGGGCAGTTGTGGCAGGCTTCGTCAACTCAAACACCTATACCTACATTGTGCTTCCCCTTGTCACATGATTTCCTTGGTCCCTCAGCAAGAAAATCTGCACAACCCGATGAACAAACATGCTCTGGACTGTTCGGCCAAGAAGCGGCAATCAACTGCTGCGAGCCCAGTGTCATCATATCGCAAGCTCACAAACGCAGGCTGACAGATTGCGACTGTGCCATGCAGACCCCACAACTGAACTTCAAAGTCCATATCTCAGGCTTCTGCCGTTTCTATTTTGGACTCACCGCCTGTCAAGGAAGACGAATTCCTGCCATTTCCTGCGCGCGGCAAATGCAAAGGCAAAGGAAGCAAAACATCCGTGGCCAGCAGAGATGCCAATGATGCCGATGATGCCCGGAACCGCGCTCCTACGGCGTTCTTTGCATTGCGAGGGGCGATGGCCGCGATGGCCTGCAAAAATCTGCAACACGCAATGCAAAGATGCGCCGAGACGCGGAGCACTTTCCGGAAAGTGCGTGCTTTCACTCTGAAAGTTTGAGAGGACTCTTCGCGCATCGCTGATACGCCTGTGGAAATCAGGCCGGCCTGAGGTTGAGCACGAGCATGTCGACCACACGATCCCCTCCGTGAATTTCTCTCTCTACACCGTGCTGAGCTTTCATACCTTTTTCAAAATTCCGGCCGACTCTTTGCCTACGCAAGCACCCAGCGCCTGCAAAAAAAATTGAAATGAGGAGCGGACGAACTCAGGATTCGCAGCGACAGAAGCAACAGTCACCTTTGAAGGAGAAATTGCTGCCCAAAACCCCGAACGCTTGTGCTCGTCGGTGTCTCGATACTGGCGAGGCCTTCTCGGTTCCAGCAGTAAGGCCAGAACCGTGGAGCCAGGCCGCTTGCGAACCTCCATACAATCATGCACTGCCAATGCACTGGAGGGATCGGACAAAAGGATGCCCCGGCATGAACTGGGTCTCAGACCGCAGTCATAAGCAATTCTGACATTTTTCCACCATTGCGGGCACCCTGCAATTCTGAACAAACATAACCCTTGAATGACTGTCAACTTTGCACGTTGCCGACTCAGTGCTGACATTTGCGACCACTGCTCATCTCCAACCTGCCCAACCAAGGCATGTCGGCTCATCCAGCGGCGCAGCTGCCCGTAGTTGCCCAGATCTTGGCGAGGCACCTGGTTGTCACCAAACCGTCGCTAGAGGGACATATGCACTCTGCAATGCACATGGGCATGTATTTCGGATGTATTTGCATCTCGACCTTTGCTGGATCTTGTTTGGTCCAAGGAGCTCTTGAAGGTTGCTCGTAGACTCTGAAAAAAATCCGATGGATATACTCATCCTGGATGTCAGGACCCTGGTATGGCACAACCTGACCCGGAGCAAAACCAGGAACTCAAACACTGCGTGCTGCAAGAAGATAACGAGAAAACGCTCAGCACGCTGCCACGTCGCCTCTTGCCTTCTGCAACTGGCCCGCCTCGGTAAACACCGCAGGCTTATCATCATTTACCTTTGCATAGCACAAGTAAGACCGCTCATCACACTCGCAGCGCACGCTTGCGACGCTGATGTTTGCCACAGCCCACAAAGGTGCAGCCTGCAGCATGCACATCCAAATGCCACAACCCACGCACAACACAGCGACCTCAGCGGAAGGGGAAGGTCTGCTGTCCTGCATCCCGCATCGAAACAAGTGTTCCGTCATACCTATGTCTTCAATCGCACGTCCTCATCCGTGGCCGTCAACAACATGAGCTGCTTGCCGGGATTTATTGCCTGCCAGATCCCTACTTTATGGGTAAGCTTCAGTGCCTCGCTGCCTCACAACCATAAAGTTCATAAAGCCAGCTAGCAGCGCCGTTGCTCGCAGAATGGGAGGGGTGTTCTGCCCAGCCAACACTCTGCTGCTGTAAGCCTGCAGGAAAGCATAATCTGGACCGCGCGTACTCCATGGAGAACCCATGTTTCTAAGCTTCCAGCGTGTCGGGGTAATGGATCACCAGCCCTGCAATATCCCTAAACAAGGCCAATGCTGACACATTGTCAACCCAAAAGCGGGGGGAAGCCTTTTCAAGGGCGCGGATTGCAAGGCGATGAAAGATGAGTTTAAACCTGTCAATCAATCGGCCACTTTGACTCATCAAGATACGGTCAGGCGGCCGTCCTAAGCCACCGACATTCGGTACCATGGGCCAGCTTGCAATGGTGCATCACATTAACATGTTCAGCCAATTTCAACCAGGGCTGTACAATGAATGGGAACCATTTTGAACCTTGACTCATACTTGCTCATCAACTTGGGCCTGCATGATGAACCGAAATTTGCCAAACAGGCACTGCGAATGGAAGCCCTCCAACATGCTGCGCTGGAACGCAACAGTGCCCGAATTCGTGCTTCAGGTACAAGAAACAGCGAGTCGGTTGTTTGCCTGGGCGGCACTGTTTTGGGGACGAAGCTTCACAGTTCGACGTTCACGGGCGGCTGCAAATTTCTTCAGTACGTTGCGGCAGACGTGTCTGCTTTTTGTTGCCGGGTGCTTGTCAAACTTGGGCAAGTCGCAAAGCATGAGAATCATCATTCAGGCTTCAAGCTCAAACCTGCTTACCCAGCTGCAGTCAGCACATTGAACGGGGCACCTACCGCATCATGCCAAAATGTCTTCGTGTGGACCTGGCATGGACCATGAACCCCTGATTGGCGGGAGGTCTGCAGAGTCGTGAGATGGACGGTCAGGGAGCGAACTGAAGAAGGCCTCATAACTGCCCATCGAGGTGGTGATGTCCTGCAACATGCGTGGAGCGTGACAAGGAGTGCAATAATGCTTTGTCCTCCAATCCGAAGATGACCACAGAGACACACAGAGACACACAGAGACGCACAGACACAGAGACACAGAGAACATGGAGAGACACAGAAAGACACAGAGACACAGAGAGCACAGAGACACAGAGACACAGAGAGAACACAGAGAGACACAGAGAGACAGAGAAAGACACACACAGAAAGACAGAGAGACACAGAGAGAGAAGAGAGAGACACAGAAAGAGAAAGAGACACAGAGAGAACACAGAGAGAGACAGAGAGAGACACAGAAAGAGATACAGAGAGAGACACAAAAGACGCAGAGACACACAGAGATACACAGAGACACAGAGACAGATTTTTTTTTAAAGCGGACGCCTCTTTACTACATCAGTAGCACAGTAGGCCGTTCTTGTGGGTCTCGCAACTAGGTGTGAAACAGATCGCCGTGAGAAGCAGGAAGAACAAAAAGGACGAACAACACCACCAACCAAACCAACCAAACAACCCAGCGAACAAGCAGCAACAACCAAAAGAAACCAAAAGCGACCAAACTACTAGGTTCCCCGCGCGCTCAGTACTCAACGTCGTCGAAATAGTCCAAGAGCACATCCATGCCGCACCAAGCTGTGCAGGGAGATCGCAAAATGCGAAAGTATGCCAGAAAGTCAAAACCACCATCTTGTAGACATTTGCTCAACGTCAATCTGCATAGATATCCGCGAACCTCAGTCAACGGTGCCACCAAGCCAAGCAATGCCGGATTGCCACGCCTTCAACAGTCGGTCATCCATCGCAAGATCACAAGAGAAGCCACTAGACAGGGGCCAACCCTTCCAGCAGGAAGGGTTGGCCGAACATGCCCCATGGTGGTCAGCCAGTGGGGACTTCAACCTAGCGAGCAATTGTCAGCGGTGTGCAGGACCAGCCCAGGGCACCCCATGGTGATCAGCCAGTGGGGCCAGCCCTGAGCAGCAACATCGAAGAACTACATGATAGCTCCAAGCTCCAGGCACAGCCAAGCCATGTTTGACAGAAGTGCTTGCGCAAGAGCAGAGGGAACTGTAGCAGAGAAGTGCAGAGTAGAAAGGTGGCATGCTTGCCACAGCGGGTGCGACATGGCAGTCGAGACTCACGGCCGGTACCCATGCCACTTGATCACTGCCGGCGCCATCCCAGCCGCTCTTCCGGCGCCACCCTTGTTTAGAAGACCCTGCTTCTCCATGCGACAACCAGATTGCAGACCGGTATTTGGGTTCAGTAGGGTTGGCAGAGGGGGGTCCATTAGTTGTTTGTGTCCCAGCTCCCGGCTGTTCCAATAGTTCTTCCTCATCCGCCCCCCATGGGGGAACGCCCTTGGGGATTGGAACGCCAGCTAGCTGCGCCACTTTGGCCTTGGCCGTACCCCACAGCGTATTGGCAGCCGTGTTGATTTGCCAGTATTGGACCTCTCCATCGGCTTTGTGCCAGTAGGGAAAGGACGAGACCCCTTTGAGTGCAGAGGGCTCAGGCACTGTGGGATCCCGACGGCAATACATTTTGAACCAGGGGCTGTTGAGTTGTTGCTTGGTAGGGTGCTTTGCGCACGCAAGGCCTTTGAGGGCGGCCCAGTGCGCCGTGGCAGCATCAAACCACTCAGGACGGGCGCGATTGGGCCCGCGCACGGTCGGTGACGCAATCAGCTTGTTCCAATGGGCATCTGCCATAGCCGGGAGCCGAAAGGGGATGCATACATCCACTTCTCGCAAGGCCGCCAAGTTCGTCGAGTGTAGCTCCGAAAAACGCCAATTTTGCACTTGCAGTTCCACCTCTTCAGCCGCAGGGCAAGCGGAGGCAAGAGCCGATGGCGAGGCTTCGCCAGCCTCCGAGGAGCTGCTGTGTACAACCAGCAGAGCCTCTTCATTCATGTGCCGCCGCGGAGGGTTCCGTGACATATGGCACTGAGAGGAGCCCTTCTAACGGGAGGACCCTACGGAAGGAAACAACAACACGTGACGTGACATCCGGCCACTCTAGGTTGTAAATCGACCAGAAGTGCTCCAAAGCTTGGTTGGCCACAGAAGCCGAGAGGGCCTGCCGTATGGCATCCAGGAAATGCACGGGAGGTGCGTTTGGCTGAAACGCGCAAAATTGGCGCTGCCCCAGCGCATGCGATCCCTCCAGGTTGACTCTCACGAAAGCATTGATGGCGGGCGTTTGCTCCTTTCGGGCAGCTTCGAGGCTAGTTCGCCGGGCAGAAGCCACCCACGCGCACAAGCGTGACTCATCCACTAGTCCTTGTATCACAGGCGACCCATCCAGGTCTCTCTCGTATACCGTGTGGGGGCAGGTGGGCCTTCGATATGCACGTCCCGCCAACAATGCTACGGTGGCCGCCGGGGGCACGTTGACCTGAAGATCGGTAACACGTTGCTCCGACTCAGGAAACCCCAGCACAATGGGCAGACCAGCTGCGCGCCCAGGGGGCCCCTTTTGATGAGCCTCAAACGCCAACAAAAGGGCCCCCATCCAGTAATCCGGATCACTGTAACATAGCATCGCAGGGAACTGTGCGTTGCCAACGCCTGGGATATCTGCCACAGCGAAGAACAAATCAGCGATGTACTGTGCAGTGGTAAGGAAGCCGTACCCTACGATGGAGTCCGTGAGAGAAACACGGTCGAGCTGCGGGGCATTGCTGCCTAGCATTGCTTCCAAGTCCAGGTATTGCAGAGCTCCAGAGAGCTTGAGGCAAATCGGTATATATAATCGGGTCGTAGATTTGCAGGTAGGCTGCTGGAAAGGTTTCCGGCAGGTGAAGGAGCTTGTCAGCGACTTCCAAGAGGTAGTCTGGGTCAGCTAACCTGCTTGGCAGGCTTTGTAATAGCTCCTCATAGGTACGGTTTGCACACGGCGATCGGGTCGCCTCCCTGCTAGGGGGCGGTGGTGGGTTGACGGCGGCCGCCACCGAACCACGCGCCTTGGGAGCGGGCTTGTGCCCCGCGCACCCCATTTCTCCGCCCTGGCTGGAGTAGAGCGGGGTGTGCAGTCGTGCGCGCCGCGCCGCGGGACTTTGGACTCCCGCGGGCACAGGGCTGTTGCCCGGGGAGTCTGCCTCAATTGCTGTCTCCAGAGTGGCTTCACTTGCTCGCACTGGAACGAGGCGTAGGCCTTGCGGGGCTTGCTCAATGCCAGCCTTGTGTTCAAAGGGTGCATCGACCCGCGGCGCCGGTCCTCGTCTCGGTGGGGCCAGCAGTTTGGCATCACCCAAGAGGTGTGTGAGGTACTTGGCCGCGCCATCGCTCTCAGTTGCCGCCTGATAGGGCACACAATATACTGCGCTAGGAAGAGGATCCAAGGTGAATCCTTGCGCTTGCAAGTCCGGCACGGTGCCCCAATAGGACTTAGAGCAAAAGTAGGGGGCAAGCCCTTGGCACTCATTTTTAAGGTCCCGGTACAAGATGTCCTGTCCATTTTTCGGCAGTGGCCAGTGTGGGCTTGGCAAATAAGTTGATCCCAACTCTGCGATCCTGGGGTCAGACGATGTCAGCTACCCTTTGTTCCCGAAAGGCCTGTTTGTGGGGGGGGCTTTAGCGACGCCGGGGCCATCTATGCTCAAGCTGGCTTGTGTGTGCAGATATTCCCTGCCGCTAATCAGACCTGCCGACGAACAAGCTGCCATTTGAAAACAAGCGCCAACTCCATCCGGATAGGGTGGTGTGAGAAAGATCAACGGGCCCAGCCCACGGGTGAATGATGAGGTTGCACGAGCGAATCCAGCCTCGCTTTGGAACAAGAAGCCTGACGCTCTGCTCGTGACAAAGACACACACGCCAAAGGTGGGTCCAGTCGAGCACGCAATTGTGATTGCGCTAAAGTATCGCTTTAAGGCTCCAAAGTTGGCACTCAGGAAATTTTTGAATGCCCCCATATCCCACGTGCTGGGTCGTCCTCTCAGGGGGAAGTCGCGGGAGGTTTGGCAAGCCTCCATGAGGCTCATGTTCTTGTCGCCCAGTTCTTCCTCAGGGTAACTCGACCGCAGTAAGGACTTGATTTGCAGCACAATTTTAGCATATTGAGAGACAAAGCCGGTGGGGGCATCAGGTAAGCACAATATCTGCGATCAGCCAGCTGAGTTCCAGACTGGTGCCCAGTTTGCTCTTTCCTTCAGGATGGTCTGTTATGCTGACCCATCTGCAAGTCTCTAGCCACCTCCCGGCTGGACTACGTAAGGGACGAGCAGACAGGTGATGCAAGCTAGGCCCTTGCGGCATCAAGAGGGTGGCATCCTGCCCCCCTAATGCAAAAAGACAGGCTTCCGGGTACCTGC